GAGGCCCAATGTTGAAACCTTTTAGTAGACGGTCCGTTAAGAATGCATGGACTCCCATGGAGGAGAGGAACTCTTCTGCTTCGAGGCTCCCTTTTCTCGTCCAAATGAGGTCTTGGCGTTCAGGCAGATTTCTTTACGGTGCAAACCGGAACTTCCATTAACGGATGAACTTATTTTAAAAAATTCCGATTTTGCCCCCTCCCCCCCTCGAAATTCGTTCCCTCATCGAGATGCTATCTATTGCCTCATCGAGATCGCTGACGATGCGGTTCCCCGTACAGCTAAGTCATTCGAATGTACTGTGCTTTAAATTTGTTATAGGAGGAAAACTTCTCGAAAATCCAGCAAATGCCCACGTTTACCACTTTTCAAGGTGATACAAAAATGTGGGGGAAATGCGAAGGAGTCGTATTCTCACAAAGATGGGGGAAAAGCCCGCGCTGACAGGCGCAGGCACAGGCGCCGAAGCGATTGCGCAACCAGCCTCCTTTCTCGTTGGAAGAGAGAAGAAAAAAGGTGGACGGTGGTCCATCCATCACTCCGCGGTTCTTGCGGAAGAACCACTATCGATTAGGCAAAAATGCCGAGAGTGGTGGTGATATCCCCTCACCTTTTCTTCGAGACGGAGCTGCTGCGTTTTAACACTTGCACGGTTCTAGTTCCGCACGAGAAACGAGTCGTTATCGTGGACTTCATTTTTCGATAATTGCCATTCCCCGAATTTCTACGGGTGAGGCGTAGATGCGGCGGAAATTTCTCGGAATCGCCTCGGTCCGAACGCGATGAAAAAATTTCTTGGAATTACCTCGATACGGATCTCCACGGCTTCATTCGACGCCAGCCGTCGAGGAGCCGGTCGAGGACGATTCCCTCGAGGCAGCCAAGGGCCGATGTGTGGGAAGCCGCCGAGTGTCCCAGCGTCGGCTCGGCCGAAGGTCATCGCATGGCGACGTGGAGGCCGCGGTTCATCATGCGCTGGATTAGCTCTGGCTTCAACGCGCGGCGGGCTTTGGGGTTTCATTGAAATCGGCATCACTTTTCGAGCACGCGAGGCAACCGACTGCCTAGACGAAGCAGGTCGTTTCGTTCCTCCACGAATTGTGATGGCGTCATCGTCTCGTCTCGAAGCACTCCTTGACGTCACGCTGAAAGCCAGGAGCAATAGTCGGCTCCGACGTCTAGCCTTCTTTGTCATAGTTCGCACGTGTGAAATTCCTCAAGAGTGGAAATCGTGAACTATGGTGAATGTCGTCAGTAGTCGATATGGCTTCAACGCGTTGCGGAAATCATCCAGAACCTTTAACGAGACTTTTGCACGATGCGCGATGCGAAAGAAGTTATAAGGGCACCTCGGCAAGTGTTAACCGACCGATTGCAGGCCGGCAGAGGATCATGAAATAGGCATGGTTTGAATCTTCAATTCAAAGTTTATTTTCATCATGCAACATTCAAATTGTCAGCAAAAGCCTTCGATGACGAATCACAAGCTAAGGAAGGTTTTTCATCTTCATTGGAGACTAGGGAATCATTGAGATCATTCGTAGACACTCGACTGGTAAGGAGGAAAACGGAGCAGAACGGTCCAGAGCGAACTTGCGCGGTACAGAGAGCAATAAGCACGAAGGTTTCCCTTACAATCACGGGTTTGTTTGCGGTGGGTACAGTGGCTAAAGAGAATAGTTTGCGCATTCAGAGGGATTAAATGTTTCAAAAATCTGACATTTCAAGCCTGCTGGACAGGCTTGGAGATGGTGTGAAGAAAGCGTTCAGGATTTTGAAGGACCAGATACCCCACAAGTGTCGAAGGAATCCTCAGGCAGAAACTGATGCCCACGTGAGCAAATAATAGCGTTTATGAGACAAAAAAAAAAGCCTCAGAGGAAGGATACTTGCCTAAAAGAAAAATATAAATCGGCAGAAAACCATACGCAGAAGCACAAAAACCTTCCAAACTCAGAAAAGAGCGGGAGATATGCTTTAAAAAAAAAATAAAAAATGCCCTAGACAACTTTGAACATGGAGCATAGTATCACAAGTGCGGCAATGAAGGCATTAAAGCGGTGTGCTGGTCCATGCCATACCTTGGCTGGGGAAGCGCCTATTGCGGAGTTCGATTGCCCTGGGACGGCTGCGACGCTGCATCAACTCCTGGCTCTCTTGCAATTTGGCCATCTCCTTGACCCGATGCCTCCGCTTGCGATCGACACAGCTGATGATAACGCTGGCTGGGATCCACATGAACAAAGAGATCCCGATTACCGTCCCCACGATATTGTCGCGTAGGAACTTCAGCACTTGATCGATGTCGATATCTTCGATTATGTCCCAGAATCTTTCCACAAGGTCTTGCACTGTCTTCTCACATTTGCCCTGACACAAAAAAGGGGGGGGGGGGGGAAGAGATACATAAACTAAAATACTGATATCTCAGACAATGGAACTGCATCTCATTCCTTCTACAGAAGAAATTCCTGCAGATTTTTCTCCAGTGCACTTGACAGGCAACTCTTGAGATACATACCGTGACAACCACCTACTCTTGGTATTCAAGGTTCACGAATTACCATTAATGCACATCTTAAAGAGCATTATTTTCTTTTGTCACTTAGTATAGTTGTAACCGATGTAAGTTTTGTGCACTATGAATATGGGTGGGGCTTGATGAGTCTCAACACTTCAATGAAGATATCTAGGTTGTTGCATAAGGTTTCCATTGTTATATGACACTAACCTTCCGGCAATATCCCACAAAGCAAGGAGTCCCGTCAGGGAGGATATCATGGGCATCGACTGGATGGCAGGTGTCATTGATGTGTGTTCGGCAACATCGCCTGCAGGCATCTTTCACTGCAGAGGGAAGAAAAAACTAATTCAGTTCATGGCATAATTCAGGAGATGACACGTTCTTATACACAAAACTTAACTTAAGTTCAAGCTTAGCACTTTCAAGTAAATATGCTTATAAAATAAGATAGAGACATGTTGTTGCACTGTAAATAAAGGAAATATGGTCGACCCTCAATGTACTGCCACTCTCACTTGTTGCCAACTATGTCCTTAGAACAATTCTTGCCTTAATTTTATATTAGGTGATCCCCTGTTATAGTGCTACTCTTGCAAGGTGCCATCTGCTGACACCATCATTTGTACACACAAGCTTTTTCCCACTCAACTTGATTTTGTGCCAAGTAGCATGCATGCCACAACACTTAATCAGAACCAACCACAACTAAATAGATGTTGCCACAGTGAGAGGTGACTCATAGCAGTCTAATATAGAACAAGTGTATGGTATGGTTTCAGAAGGGACTAAGAGGGTATCAATAAAAGCTTCACAAACATTTAGTCAATATGTCCTTCAGATATTTCAGTTATCATAGCTATTATCATTCTGTGGTTCATTTGATATAGTGCCATCTGCATTATTGAATCAAAAATCAGCAATATTCAGCAGTGGTGTTATATCAAGGGTTCACAGCATTCAGCAAAACAAACTGGCAGCATAAAAATTTGATATATAATTTAGTTATAAGTTAATTATTAAATTAAATTACAAGTTAGTTATAAGCCTGCTATAAAAAGAAGGCTTCATTGATAGAAAGCAAAGAGAAGTTAAATAAAAGAGGCAAAAAAGTAAGCATTAACAATGTACCTACAGGTATCACACATGCAGCTCTGAAGAGAGGGCTGCTGACTCTCACAGAAGGGTTCACACTTTCCATTGAAGCACTTTCCTTTCTCCAAACAAGGAGTGTAATCAGCCAGTGGCAGTGAATCAGGGCATTCTGGCATCTGGCCTATAAAGTTATTGGAAGTCATGAGGCAATTTTAACATGCATGATCCAGCCCAACAAAGGTAAAGAAATAAAGTGGTGAGCTCAACAGACCTGTGCACCAGGCTTCCTGCTCACAAGTGAGCAACTGTCGCTCTCGACATTTAGTTCCCTTGGGAATAAACTGGCAGTTTTGGCAACATGGGAAATTCTTGTCACTAAAGCAAACAATATAAAACCAATAATAATCAGCAGCTTCAAAGCATTGTGATTTCATGCACAAAAAGAGATTTAGCCTATGAAGACTGACTCCCCTACTCTTCTTATGGTGGAAATTCCAACCACCCTTTCTGCCAGTACTTCACTAACCCTTTTCTAGGGATTGAAGATAGGCCTCGCCTTACCTACAAAGAGCTCCTTTGTCCTTTCTCAACTTGCACTTGTTGTTGCAACATGCATCAGTATCTTCAGTGCCTAAAACACCTGCATCACATTCCTCTCCTTCTTCTATGCGAGAATTCCCACAGAAACTCTGTTTGGGTTCTGTGAAGCACTTGTCACTCTTGGCAAGAATCACTGCTCGGATTGATCGAAGACTGCATGGAGAAAATTTCTGCAAAGATCAATACATCTTCAAATACAATTTGACAAGAGGAACACTAGGAATCATGAGACAGTGTGCTAAGAGAGAGGGAAAAAAAAAGCATCCCCATTGTGCAGAAAAGGGTAACCTTGTCCATCTCAAAGAGATAGAATATTCACACTTCAAGTAGTTGAAGTCATGTACATCATTCATGCATTTGATTAGCTGTTATAGGTGATGATAAGTAAGGTCTAAAAGTCTAGAATTTCTGATTTGAAGGTCATGCAATTTCAAAAACTTCTGACAATATCTGATAATTCTGACATAATGTATGATAAGTGAGAAGTGAAGTGATTTCCTTGAGGGTACAAGCAATTTGGGCTATTGCCAGAATGCAGCTGCAAACAGGGAAGTGGTAAGTGATGGTGGTCCCTACCATATTACAGTCTGGATGTAGGGCCCTGTAACTTCAATCTGCTCAGCCATAAGAAAAAAGCCATTTGAGGGCAGCATTTCAGTTAGTGACAAGGAATTGCAACAGGTAGCACTTGCTGTTTTGCTTGCCATGCCCTAAGAATTCTATGCAGATAGCATATGGAAACTTGTTCATTTATGGAATCAGTGCATAACAGTCATGAGAATATATGTAGTGTTTCTTATTTGAATAAATTTTTCACTTAACTCTAACACTCATGTAGTGTACAGACATTTACAGGGAGTTGAAGTTGAAGTTGTGATGAAATCAAGTGAACAAATGTCTGACTCAAGAGAAAATTACTGTAGAAAAGTAACCATTGGTCCACATTCATCTGTATTTATCTCATATTTACAGAATAAATTATTTGCCCTGATACTTTTGGACACCATCTTGTATAAACTAAAAGATACTTGATAGAAATTTATCCTAGATTTTTAGGAGATGTTCAAGGTCAGGGGTCAGATATTTCCTGGCAAACTGTCTCTTTAAGCTGAAATTATTTCCTCACTTGATTATTGATATCAAAGCCAGACACTGAATAAGTGTACATGATATATGATCCTCCAGCTGAAGCTCGAGGGGAACATTCTGGGAGATCTGGATCATGTTCTGAGCCCCAGTTGTGACCAAATTCATGAGCTGTCACTAACGCTGCCTCCCGGGTGATCAGTCGTTGTCCATAATGGTTTCGGGAGCTACTCAGACCCGAGTTCAAGTACAAAGTAGTGCCATCCTTCAAGTATTCTGAAAGAGATACAAGCATTTCTAGACAACTGGTACACTCAAAACAATCAAATCTCTATGAGTTCTGATCTACATAAGCATGAAAATAATAGTTTTTAGCACTATGCAAGGTTTGACATTAAAAGTAGGATGTTGTATGGAAGAGATTTACCTGGCGTACAGATTCCTCCAACAGAGTTTCTTCGAGGTGAACCAACGTAAGCCAATCCGAGAATTCCACCCTCAAAAGAGGTATCAGTGAATAAGTGGGCCAAACAGTAATTCTTGTGTGAATACTGCCGACTGAAAACCTGGAGATTCATGAAAACAGACCTGGCTCATTCATTGTGAACTAAACTACATGCATACAACAGATGGAGAGCATCAAATTAATCAATTAAACTGAGTCAATCTGTCCTTACTCAAATTTATACTTCATGGGTACATATAAATATATATTTTCCAAGTGATTTTCTGAGAGTACAAACCTCAAGGAGCTTGCGAACATCCCAGGTGGTTGTTTTCATGTTATAATGTTCTTCATCTTGGTATGTGGGTGTTGGCTCAGAATGAATTAGGATTTTTTTAATCACAAAACCCATACCATGGAAACCTTCCTGGTCTGGAGAACCTGTCCACTGGGTGCCTTCATAGATCTTATGGACATGGTCAATCAGACTGATCTAAAAAGGAATAATAAGATAATACACATGAACTTCAAAAGTGGAGTGCTGAACATGCTTAGGCTTCTGCATCCCACAGTGAATGTGAACTGAGAAAAGCTGAATTACAAAGGAAACCAGGTCAAGATAAGAGGTCCATGAACCTCAACAACAACACCTGTAGGTTCCAATGAATAACCATCACACATCACAGACATAGCTCTAACTGTCAAGATATAAAAAAGACCAATGACAAACACAGACCAAGTAATTTGTGGTTGTTTTTCCATCAGATGCTCCCATGCTTCCAAAAAACCTATAGTCTGCCACAAGCAAGAGGGGACAGAGAGACTTTTGTAAGGAATAGCCATCTCTTCCATCCTCCCTTTTCACTCTCACCAACTCCTGGATCATCTCCTCCTCAGTCATTTCATCCTCCATCAGGCCAGCTGGGGGGGGGGGATGCAAATAAAAGGCAATGTTAATTGAGAAGGCATAATGATCCCGCAAAAGACAAATAAGCAATCATGAACATTTTCAGAAGGGTAAGAATTTGCTTTTTTTTTGGATTACATAATGAGAATTGGGGAATGTGTAACATCAGGCCAAGAAGCTGAGCACATTAGCTCTCTAGTAGAAAAGTGAACATACCTCAATAGTCATTCTCCATTTTCAAGAAATGGAAAATTCTTGCTCTTTTAGAAATATGAAAATAATATTTGCCTTTTTCTCAGATTGCTTATTAATAATACTGCCTAAGGCTGACTCATGACTCACTACCAAATTCACCAATATAAATCATGAGTTCTCAGCCTGACACTTTGCAATACCATAGCTCTCTAGAACTCTTGAAAGTTTAGGATAAAATATAATTTTGGTTTGTATATATAGGGAGGGCCAAAAAAAAAAACAAAAGCCATCATTTTGGTAAGCTGTCAATCTGATTGTATGCAACTGATTTTGATTACATTTGTTATACAAATAGAGTGACTCAATTAGAGTTTGTGTGCCAAGTTTCAAATAAAAATTCCAAAAACTGTGATTGCATTTAATTTACATTTCATTACCAAAAAAGTAAGTGTTCATTATTAATTTCAGCTTTAAAATTCTCACAACTGACAGAAACAAACAAGCAAGCAAACAGAACAAAAACACATGCACAAATACCAAACATGAAATCGTACAATTTGGTTTGGGGACGTACATTTCAACGGAAAAGGTGCTCAATGTGCCCTCCATCCTGTTGAACGCAAGCCTGTAATATGGGACACCACAGATCAATGGTCCACTTGGTCATTAAACCTTTGAGGCAGTGCCTCCCAATCTTCCTTTGTAGCATCATGCAGGGATGGAAGGTCAATGAATACGAACCTCCATTTCATCCCGGCCTCAGGGTTATATCAATATTTTCAACAGCACATTTTATCATTGGTCATCAGAAAATAATTACAACTCCTATACTTTTAAAGTCATATGGCTGAAATTTGGCATATAAACTCCAATTTTGTTACCCTATAAGCCTACCAATTTTAATAAAAATTGACAGCCTACAAAGAGAGTGACGATTCTTCAAAAATGATAGCTTATTTTTTTTGGCCCACCTTGTAGGCTGACACAATTGGAGTTTGTATACCAAATTTCAGTTTTTTGGTTCTAAAATTTTAAGAGCTGTTATTATTTTCTGATGACCACAGACAAAATGTGCAGTTGAAAATATTGATATGAACTTGAGGCTGGGATGAAAGGGAGGCACTGCCTCAAAGGTTTAATGACCGAGCGAGCCATTGATCTGTGGTGTCCCAGACTAGAGGTTAGTGTTCAACAGGATGGAGGGCACATTAAGCACCTCTTCAGTTGAAATGAATGTCCCTAAACCAAATTGTGAGCTTTCGTGTTTGGCATTTGCTTATTTGTTTTTGTCAGTTGTGAAAGATTTTAAGCTGAAAGAAAAAATGAACACTTACTTTTTTGGTGATGAAATGTAAATTAAATGCCAATCTCACAATTTTTGGAATTTTTATTTGAAACTCGGCACACAAATCCTAATTGAGTCACCCTATGTATCTGCCAAATTTAATAAAAATTGGCTATCTACAATCAATTGACAACTTGCCAAAAATGATAACTTTGTTTTTTTTTTTTGGTCCACCCTGTATATGGATTTTCAAGTATTGACAAATTTTATTTTTGAGCCAAGGTGAGCAATTTCTCTGGAGTTCCCATCTCTTGTCTTGGTCATGAGACAAAGTTTCCAAGTCCAACTAATGACTGCAAGAAACATCCACTCAAGAAAAAAATTCAGGGAAAAGGAGGTCTACTCTCAATGACTGTCCCAGTAACCTAAGTAGTAAGTAAGTAAACCTGGTAGGTTTACTTAACCATTTCCACTCAGTTTTTTCTGCAATGCTACAACTGATGGTGAGCCCAGCCTTACAAAAAAGTGGAAAGGGTTAATCCATTCATGTACCTAACAGTCTCCGAGATGGCCTCAGTAGAAGTGTCCAGCCTGTTCCTAACCATCTGCCAGATGGGTTTGTGGCTTGTTAGTCAATGGTATGGTCGTTTGATGGCATGATATGCCTTCTTTTAAGTTCTAGTAGGCTCTTTTAGGTTTAGTGTGCAATGAGGAATTTTTTTGCTATTTAAATGGTATGCAAATGGGTTAATTCTTCATGGTGTCATATTCAGGTATTCCAATGCTATGATAGGAAGTCTGTTGAATTGGATGATAAAGATTAAAATTGGAGGAAAAAGGTGCAGACTCACAAGTGTTGTGAATGGTAGCCTCATGAACATATCCACAAACTTTTGATATGTTAGCGTCTTCACCCCAGCTGTATTTGACATCAGAGCTTCTGTAGACTAACATGGAGTCTCGCCCCTCATCTTGTGCATGCCTCCATAGGGGCTAATGAGATTAAGAGAGAAAATAATATCTTGAGTCTTGACAAATTTCATTTAAAGAATAAAGAACATAAAGAAATACAATATGCTTGCAACACTGTAGGATTTGGTACTAGCTTCTAGTGCAACTAATGTCATCTCAGATATGGGAAAATTTTTAAAAAACTTTTGCTGCTGAATTGTAGAACAAACAACTCTCGATTTACCACTACTGTTGGTCTCAGCCAATTTTGGCGCTATATTGGGGGTAGTACTAAATTGAAACACGTGGCATTAAAATTGAGAACAAATTTCTCATTTATATAAAATATGCACAAATTTTCACTTTAATCCATGCAGAATACACCAACTACACAGCTTTTAAAAAATGATTCTATCTATTCCATCCATGATTAAATACAATAAATTTTTTAATGAGTATAACTCCTATGCACTGTCTGCTAACATTATTGCCCCCAAACAGAAAAATAGTTCACAAAGTTTTTCTGACTTTCGACCACTTATACCTCCTTTTAATGGCACACTTTCAATTTTTCCTGCACATCTGAAATAATTCTTTTCCCCACCACTAGATAGTGAATAAAATTGAACTATCAGCTGGAGAGGCTACGTACAATCTGAATGAGCCATTTCCATTCCCCAATAGAAGAGACAGGATTAGGTTGGATTTGGTGACCCTATAAGCCCTCCTCTAATCCCTGGAGGTCTACTCTAATGCTAAGATATCCCTCAAAATATTGCCTTCTATCATGAAATCAAAAGGAGCAGCTGGCTGCCTTAAATTTTATTTGCAGAGCAATGATTGTGGTAGGTACAGTATGCTGCTCTGCGCAATATCAGAATATGACACATTTGTGCAAGTGAAGGTGTTGATGAATGGCGGCTAGCAAGGAGGGCACTATAACAGGGGAGTGCCTATGGTAAGCCTATAGAGAAGAAGTTGGCGATAAGCGAGAGTGACGTTATATAGAGGGTTGACTGTACTAGTATCATATTGGTTTGACCCTTAATGTTCTAATCTATCTATAATCTCACCTCCACATGATAAGTTTCATCATGAGTTTCAATGGTAGCAGTCAGGAGTTCACCATCAAAATGAGCCGAGACATGAGAAGTCTTCTCTCCAAACACATGACCCTCAAAGAAGCTTTCCTTATCTGACAAGGAGTAGAGATTCATGAAGATCTGTTAATGGGACTCTAACATTTTATTAATCACACTTGTTTCTTGGCATTTTTTCTGAAAAGTCTTAAATCAATCAAACCTCATTCATTCAATAACTCAACAGCTAATGACAAATTGCTTCTAGGGATAAAGCCACACTACATTCTAGAGATACTTACCAACAGGTATATATGATTCCAATCCATCCTTATTGATGATAGTGGCCTCAAAAAATGGGTCCAAAATTCCACTCTTGGGGGAAAGCATAAGACGAAAATTCCTGAAAAGGGAAATTGATTTTATATCAGCTTCAGGGTAAAGTCAAGCATCTAACCTATAGAGTCTATCAGCATTATTCTACAGAAAAATACAGTTGAACTTGGATATAACAAAGTAGATCTATGGCCTCAATGACAAAATTGGCACTGTCATAAGGTACTTAATTCATTATCATTCATCATTAGTAACTGGACCCTTCATCATCAGGTATGTGACCATTGATGACCCATAATTTACTCTTTCTTGGAATCTGATCCCTTGCGGGCCTCATGTAGCGAGCAGGAGGAGTGAACAGTGACTGCAAGAGGGAGGGATGATCCCCAGTCATGGACAGATCATCTAATCTTCAGGTTGTCATTTTATTTATTGACAACACAGCTAGTTGAAATTGTAAGAGGTAAGCCTTCAAGATCAATGAGAAAATGAATATTTCAAAGAAGGTGGATGAAGTAAAGCCAAAGTTGATTGTGAACACGAACTGCCAAGTTCATCTGATTCCATAATTATGAAAAATCACAAGTTTTGTGAAGTGCTTATAACAACACAACTCGGACTAGGAAACTCCATGGATCTGCATGAGGCAAAACCAAAAACATTTGCTAAAGTGGTTTTTGGGTTTTATTTTTATTTTTCTTTTAGTTTATGCTGCTGACAACATGGCAGGGGTTGGGACTGTCTTAGAACTTATGTTCCAGCAAACATGTGTGAAGCAATGCAAAGATAACAGACTTCCTTGTCTACCAATGAGTTAGTAGGGAGGAAAACTGACATACTGTATACTTCATACTCTTAAAAAGATAGTGTTGTAATGTAAATGAAGGTAACCCTGCTTTTGACAAATAGGGTAACTTGGGGGAATATGGCCCTTCACAATGCATCCCCTTACAGACTGAATAATTATTTTGGGTGAATTTAAAAAATAGTTCTATTGGAGGTGTTAAGTTATGTCCTGTAAAAGCTACGACCTGTTTATTAATCCAGTGCTCACAGGAATTCAGGATAAATACAATTTTTGAAAGTCATGTGCATGCGATTGTTCCTCTCATGATACTGAAACTAACATTAGCCATGAGCAACTTAAGCACATATTTCCTAATAGCAGTATGGATACAGAAACCATTTTTTACAAGTGATTCTATGGTCCCTCCGCAATGCTTGTGGGAAATGTTTGCCCCTCATCTGCAGTTTGCAGGCAGCATTGTCAATTTTGTCATGGAAGCCAACATGGGGGATTATGGCCATGTCAATTAGGGATAATATCGACACATCCATGATTTCATGGAAGCACTGCATTGACCTATTGGCAGTGTTAGATTCTTTTCATGTGGGACCTCAGGCAGCAAGTGATCATCCTACACTCATGTTCTGAATTTACACTGTAGACATAAGGTGATGCNCACTGGAAATCTGCACCAAATATGTAGCAGATATCCTCATGGAATGCTTCCTGGACATCAGCTAGATATACTCCAGAAATTTTTGTGGCATGAAATTTGAATACAAATAAATATGCCTCATACAAAATTGAAATTGTCATCCTGTGATTTTTTAAAAGTACAATTTACCATATGGATACAAGCACATTTCTATGCTATGTTTTCCCTGCACTACACAATTTCCTCTTAGTTCACAGTCATAGCACATGCTAACTTTGATCCATGCATGATCTCTTACACCCACAGTCTTCTATAGATATTCACCACATATCAGACATGATGCCATTTTCCCATCACACTTAATATTGCAATGCATGTAAAATATATTATACACCATAAAATTGCTAATATATGAATGCATATATGGTGGCATATGGCAAATACATGATCATACATGACCATATAAAATCATACACCCAGTCATATATGGAATTTTCACGCTGGGATATATACTCAATCTGTGCACCCACAACATCTGCAATGCTGTGCATGATAGTGCATACTGTGATAGGGCATACTACCATTGCCAGCCTCATGCCACCTATTACATAGACAACCTCTTTTAAGTGAGCATTCTGCACATCAAGCATGGTGCATAGGTAACCTAGGTAGACACACAACTTTAGGTAACTGCATGACTAGAAGCTTGCCCATTTCAAGTCAGGGGAATGTGGTGGCCATGCAAGAACTGAAAAATGACTCTAGCGTCCATTATAGTCGACTGACCTGGCTCCACCATTGACCATCTCTATAATCCCATAGACTTCATGATTCATACTGATCTGAACAGTGGCATTACAAGCTTATTTATATGATTTAATTCATGGCATTTCTTGATATTAGCAAATTATGCAACGGTGAAGAGCTCTAAAAAAAAGATTTGGCAAATGCTGCAATTGATTCTCCATGTGTTCCATTCCATACTCAACTCTAATTGACACAAACCATTCTAAAAAACCAAACACACATTTTGATTTCTTCAGGTTACACTTTAGCTTCTCTTAATCAAATCTATGTAAATAATGCATTCAATTCTAGTTGGACAGTTTATTGTTTGTTTCATATTTTTTTCATAATGAAAAATGCCTGAATCACCAGAATGAAGGATAGTGCAGACTATAGCAGAGTCAGAAAGTCACCAGGCTGAATATAGATCTCTTAATCATCATTTAAGAAACTAGAATGCCATCAAATTGGATTTTCAGTCATCTACTATGATTAGAGCTATTATTTATTATGATGATAGCTATTCAATTTCTCAGCAAATTATGTCCTCTTTTCCATATTGTTCTACCTCACACACCATCCAACCTGGTAAGGGGGCAATGTTCAAATGCAGCCTTATATGCATAATTCTAACAAAATTAATTACCAACTTACAGCTCTCTTCCTTGAACCACTTCAGCATGAGACCATGGCATAAACATTTGCTATAGAAACTACTAGGATCAAACATGGTGATGGAGGAGTAATTTCTGTTGTTGACTCAAGTTCAATTGCTTTTCATTCTACTGTGACTTACAATTGGGCACATACCCCCAACCCTTTAAATCATGCTAAGTCAAGCAACAGAGCAACATCTTCCTTCTCAAAATAACCATTTCATATCAGGGACTCAGGTACCTTGAAAAATGTCGGGAATGGGACCTACAACGAGAAAGATATGATAGCCATAATATCTGCTACTGCAAAGCTGAAATTAAGTACTTCCCATTTCTTCCACAATAGAGGAAGAGTAGTAAATCGAATATCACCATACAGGGTGGATATATAGAATATTAAAATATTTTGCACCATGCTCAAACATAAAACACTGGTGATTAAAATTCTCCAGGGCCCAATAAAATTTTAAATTCAAAATTGATGAGATTATGCTCAGGGATTGATAGTGGACCTCAGAATGAGAAAGAAACTCACTTCCCATGAGTATCAAAAGAAAGCTCCTTGATACTGTTGAAAGGATGAGGACTTGGATTGACTCCTCTCTTCACAATTTTGTGATTTAAATCACTCTTCTTCAGGATTTCTGAATAACGTAGACCTCTGAGATTGAGTCCAGCTGTGAATCAATGAGAAAAACATTGTATGCTCAGACCTGAACTGGTCAAATGTAAGGGTTTATGTTTACTAGGTCTAAATTGTGAATCTAAAGTAGGTCTATAGGTATGGAGACCAGATTTATTCAGCAAAAACCAGGACACAAAAAAGGAACACATTTTAAAAATACATAACTTTTTTAGTACTAAATAGAAACATAGAATTAACTTCACATTGTTCAGACATTCATCAAGTTTTTGCCTGACTACATGAGATGCTCAAAGTGTCCACCACTTTCTGCTGTAAATTTGCGAATAAGCATGACAAAATTTTGCATAACTAGGGCAATTTCCAAACTGAGACAGATACAGAGGTAGAGGACAGAGACTGAAAAACTTGAAAATAAGGTCACTATACTTGTAGATCTATTGAGAGGGTCCAGGCTAATTCATCAACCTACCTTGAACTGTTGAAGCCATGAAGATGAACAATATAACTAAGATAGTCTGAAGACTGCATGAGGAAATGCCAAAAGACTCCAGGTTGACCATGATTCTGCATACCAGGGATGGTCAAGGTAGGAAGGTACAGGCCTGTCAAAGTAGAGACTAATGCATAAAACTGAAATGCTAACATATAACTATGTGTTGGCATTTACATTTACAGTAAATACAAAAGAACAAACTATGTTCTTGAAGGATGAATCATGTTTGCAAACATTTATGATCAAGTATAAAAAAACCAAGAGATTTTTCCATCTCAAGTGACAGCCAATGGTTGACAATACATGGATTTGCTTGAAATTCAACAAATTTTATCCAACTGTGTAAAAAACCATGCCAAATATTTTTTACATTCACACTAGGCATAGTGGTATACTGGTATTTTAATCATACTGTGGTATTTGATTCTTGTTATAATTATACTGACCCCTTCTAGGTTTTTCTATATTATTGTCATGGTATAATAACCATGGAACCAATTTTCATGAAAATTACATGACACTGCCTATAATCATACCATTGCATAGCACCATACCGCGACCCATTTTTAAAACAAGAATTACCTCATCAATTATCCGCCTTGTCCTCACCCACAGTGATGCCCACTGTCTAGGGAAAACCAAAGCCCTCCTGGAAGTTACAGGAGTGAACAGGATTTAATCCAAACTCATGAACAAAGATTTTTCATCTGTGGATTCCACTTGGTCCTTGACTGTGCTGTTGGTTCATATGTGTAGGTGTGACTGAGCATTCAATA